AGGACCAGTTGCTGTGCTCTGAGGTCATGGAGGAAGCAGGAGACATGTTCAATGATCTTAGGACCTCGTTTGAGTCCTTTCAACAGAAACTCAGACAGGTCACTATCGAAGTCAAACGCAAAAAAAGCAAAATGCCCGGCAAATGACATTGCACGACATGTTCAAGGACTGAAGCTGAAACTGTTTTTCCCGAAATAAATTGCGTACATATCTGGGATGCGTACTTAAACGAGTGCGGACTTAATCGGGATGCTACTGTACATGCTACATGAGACGCCAACACTTAACTCCATTTAATCAATACTATTTCGTGTGCTCATTATTAAGACATTTGGGGATTTTGATGTCTAAATTATAGTCATCTGCACCGTTGAATATGGCAACGCGCCCCCCCCCAGTACAGGACCCTGGGATCACTAACGAAGCTACCACGCCATCAATTACAAAGGCATCCCCATTCGCGTCAAGGTGCACCATTTTCTCAATGCTTACCACTACTACGCTCAAATGTACACTGCATGTATTCTTGGCAGCCCCGTTGCGATAGTGAACCAGGCTCGTCCAGGATTTGGCGCCATCGGGCAGTTTCCAGGTGTTTCAGCTGCTCGCGTGACATCTGAACGTCATTAATGCTGATGCTGTGCATGTTCATTCTACCCAGGCCATGCAGTGCGTGCCGCTTCGACTCAGCTATCCACCCCTCTGGTTCCGCAACGCCAAATACTGACATCTATCGCCAGTATTTCATCTGATCCTTCAACGTCTTTTTCTGATGGAAGACGTAGTCACCCTCCAGAGGAAGCAAATGAAGTCTTTAGACAGCCCGTGCTGGAAGATGGATTAATGGTTGGCGACGTCAGGCAAGCCTCGGTTCCATCTTTGCAGCGACATCGAAACAGCGTCGGACCATTTGGTAGGCTCTCTGCCCCATCGCAAATGCAGCCAGCTTCCAGCGAAGTTCTGGAGGAGGAGAAAACCCTATTTAGCCCGACATTTCCATTGCAACAACCGAACCAACAAGAAAATTATGAAAGCTTGATTTACCCGGATGGATTTTCTGCGCCGTCACCCCCAATGCTATCGCGGCATTCTTCCTTCACAGCCCCACAGAGCCCGATGCATTCGAAATTTAGCAAGTCCCTTCTCCCTTCTGTCCAAAATCGAGCAACTCTTCAGTTTGCGACATATCAACAGCAATCATCTGCTCAATCATCTGGACAAGCACCGCTTCCAATCGACCCAGGTTTGGACTATACAGACAACATTCGCTCGCAATCTGTTCGGGTTTCTTCTTCATCACAACCTACACCAGGATCTGTGCATATTGAAACGCAAAAGATTCCTCGACCGTCCCGGTATGTGGCGTTGGACCTCCCTACGACCACTCATCAAATCACGCCTAAGGCTCTCACAGCCAACGAGCTTATTGATCAATTCATGAAAATGCAAGTTGATGAGCGCTTCGTAGGAAATGGAATTGCAGCCCCTGTCGCGAAAAAAATGTATCTTGAAGACATTCCTGACACTATTGAAGGACTAGAAGCGATGTATACGCAAAAGCGTTGGAAATCACTGACAAAGAAGGCCCTTTTAATGCTGCAAAAGCCGCCTAAAAATTTGTATGCGACGCTGGAAATTAAGTCGTGGTGGCTTGCTGGGCTTATCAAAGAGGGTCACTACGACAATGCTGCTAGTGTGCTAGATCAAGTTGGTAATATCGACCAGATATCTATTTTAGATGGTTGCAACCAGTTTGTTCGTATCCGTTTATACCTTCTCCAAGCGCTACTAAGTAAGTGCCAAGGAAAACTTGCGAATCACGAAAAACAGCTCTTTCATTTAATATCGCGACTGAAGGTTGCAATTCAGCAGAAGTCGACTAAGGCTCTATTAAATGTTGAGATATCTACGGCTGCGCGGTGGTTGCGGATCGCACAGTTTGCGCTTGCGAATCATCTTGTTTCCCAGCAAAAATTTACGCTGGCTTTGCGAATCTGCTCTGTGATCGATGTAAGTGTTGGAGTTAAGACCATCGATATGCTGTATTGTTCACTACGTTCTAATCTATGGTGCTGTTCCTCCAGGAACATTATGTGAGTGATCAAGAAAAAGTTATCATTCTCTCTCGGGTGGGTCGTATCCGTTTGCAAATGGGTGATTTGGAAGCAACACAAAAATTATTTGATGCCGCTCGACATCTTATTGATCGACTTAAGCTCAGGAGTGGCGACAGTCCTACTGTAGCAGCGGAAGATATGGCTGCATTGGAAGCACGTCTGCTTTTTGATGATGGACTTTTGTTTTTTGCACAAAACAAGTTACAAGAAGCGCTCAGTGCGTTCGAATCCGTTATGTACCTGCATGTCAAAGCGGATGATGTTGAAGCTGACCTCTTTCTCGGAGAAGACATTGTTTGCTCAGCTGTCAACAACTACGCCATTTGTGCACTCTACTGCTGCGATGTCAAGGCTGCTGTGGCTGCACTAGAGCAAATGATCAGGTCAAATCCGAGGCGATTTCTTAATGGAGTACTTGTGTTCAACCTTAGCTCGCTTTATGACCTATTGTTTGACAATGTCACTAGCAAAAATCGTAAAGAGATGTTGAAGAAGATCGCTGACATGTACGACCTCGAGCATGTTGATTCGGCTACTTATCGCATTTAATGAAAGAAGTTGCAATTTCGCTCATGCTTTTTGCATGTAGATGCTTTCACGATTGTTGCGACCGTTACCTTCTTCTTTGAAAGCACTAGAAAAAAGCTTATAATCACTTCCCATTAGTTTCTGGCGCTTGTTCCCTTTTTTTTCACTGCCAGGTTCAGTATTCGATAGTTCCGATGCCTCGTTCGTAGCACAAGCTGCAGCTACGTCTTCACCGGCCAGCCGTGTCTTCAATTGCTTCTTCATTTCGATCCATCGTGTCTTGATCATGACGCGAATCCCGCCCAATTCAATATTAAGCGACTTTCTCACTGCTTTGTCAGCAATACTCTTTTCGGAATATTCTACAAAGCCAAACCCCTTAAATTTCTTGCTTCGAGGGAATCTCGGCAGACTCACCAAGTTCACCTTGCCAAACCTAGCAAAGGTTTGGCGTAGTGATTCGTGATTATCCAATGCGCTAAAATTGTCGAAATACAAAGTGCGGGCATCTGTAAAACCATTAAGTTGAACAACTTGTAAGCCTCAAATTGCCTCGCGCTACTTACCAACGTCGTCCATCTGACCAAACAGCGGCAGTGTTTTGGGGGCGATGCAGCAGCGCACGCGATCGGCTCGAAGTAACGATGATTTCTCGGCTTCGTCTAATATCATACGCTCTGTAGCCTTCAGCACCTTTAACCTATTCAAGAATAGGATCATTCAGTGATGTTTACAATGCAGGCACTAAAATGACGCACTTATTGAAGGTCAAGAAGACATGCACTGGTACGAAGCCGTCATCATCCATCTCATGCCGTAAGAAAGTGTCCTGGCGAATGTTGCTCTCGCTCATATAAAATTCCAATTGCCGTTGTAGCCGCTTACGCAGCGACATTTACTCTTACCGCGATGAGATAATTCCAGCTTAAAACCTCAGCATCCAACACTTAATAGGACCCCAGCAACACCAACATCACGATATTACTAGGCTTCTTTTGTAACGAATGGATGTCTTGAAATTACATATATTTGCATTTAGAACTGCATGAAACAGAATAGAGCAGGCGCTCTTACATCTAATTGGATAATAAGGGAGACAACGTACTACCCAATATAATAGGACCGACTTTCTATTACTTGCTTGCGCTTTTATGTTCAAGGAGAAGATTGCTTTAAGGGTTTATTGCAAAAGGTGAAATATTCGCGAGATGTGATACAATTGTGTTCTAAACACCATTGTTATAAAAAATACGGGGAAGGTCAACAGCAGAGTCTATGTTTTAAACACTAAAAATACGAGACCTGGTAAG